CTTAGTGCTATTTTTCAGGGATGGAAATAGGTACCGGAACTCACCATGAATGCCTCCCTTGTTCTCTTATCGCGGCAATGGCGCCCACCTAAGAGGTGTTGGAACTGAGTTCCAGCTGAAAAAAAGCCCTGGATCTTCTGCATATTTTTGATGCTTGTTACTTTTCAGCCTCTGTTATCACAGAGCTGTTTTCAAGCAGCATGCACGTTGCAACCTGCTTTTTTCAGCAAGTTTAAGCGGCGCTTTGCATTTTGGTGGTGCAGGGGTTACGCTCAGGAAAAGAAAACTCAAATCCCACTTGCACATACATCAATCTGTTGCGTGTGGGTAATGGAGCTTGCTGGATTGCATCCTTCAAGGATAGTAACCTAGTAAAATACAGACCTTGACTTGCTCAGCAGAGAGCAGAGAACAGATGACAAGAAAGAAACACCAGGATCACCCACTATCCCCCCCCCCTCCGGCTGCCAAATCACCTGCCTTTGCGGTGTCTGTTTTTAGTGAGTATCTTCCATCTACAGTATTGACTGGTTTATCAGGCAGCAGGTATCTCTATCAGTCTATCTTGAATTGTTATCCAACTGAAGATTAAACACGTCTGCCTCCTCCTTGTGATTTTCAGTCTTCACATCGCAAAGTTTTCAATCAAATTTCAGCAGTGTACATTTAGCTTAGAGAACTCTGAGGACTTATCTTGCTAAAGCAGGTGATTTAGGCCATATTTACCTTGTACAGTTCCAAGATATCACTACCTGCTGCATTTAGGCCTTGGAATGATTTCCAAAGCCTTCCCACCCAGCCTCCTTTCAGTTGCCTTGTCTCTCCACAGCCAGGCTCCCAGCCAGTGCCGGATTTATGTATAGGCTAAGTAGGCTAAAACCTAGGGCCTCTAAATCTAGGGGGCCTCGCCAGCCCTCCTGCTCCCCAGCAGGAAGTCTCCCCTCTCCCAAAATTGCAAACCCAAGAATTCATGTGAGCAGGGCAACTCAGGCCTCTAAATCTAGGGGGCCCCACCAGCCTGCCCTCTCCCCAGTGCCGCAGTCTCCCCTCTCCCAAAATTGTAAACCCAAGACTTCATGCCAGAGCAGGGCAACTCAGGCCCAGCAACTATGAGACTCAGGGCTAGCCAGTGGGGCCCAATTTGAAGCAGTGGGGTGCAACTTGAATTTTTTTCTGGGCCCCAGTTCACAGCCAAAGTCTGCAAAATCTTATAGATATAAATAAAATCCATCTAGATTGCCCTAGCGCAGGGGCCCCCTTAGAAGTGGCCTGCGGGGCCCAATTTGGCCCAGTTGCTCCAGTTGCATTAAGGTCAGCCCCGGTGAGACTGTGCAGGGGTTGGACTGACAAGCCCTGCACCTTCTAGGTCCCTGGTATCACTACTCAGAGTACAGACTCAAGGACTTGTTATGGAAATAAGGAGGGGGGCACTGATTGGAAATAAGTTGACTGAACACCCCCTGACTGTTGACTGAACACCCCCTGCCGTGCAGTTAATGGAGAAAGCTCGTAAATTGTATCCCTTCTGGCATCCTGGCCAACTCTATTACGCTGGTGTAAACCCTGGTGCACCAGAAGCACAGAATAGCAGCATATAGAATCCGCTCATTCGTCAGCAATTGATAAGACTTGTCAATCAGTTCTTCCAAAGTCTTCCTAAATTATAAATCTCCAAAATGCAAGCCAAAAGAGAGCTGGTCTGGAAAAAGCGAGGCATACAATGGGCACCACCAGTGAAAAGGCCCTGCTCCGTGTAACCCCTGCCCTGTCATTTGATAGAGCGCCCGCTTGCCCTCCTTTTTGACATGGAATGCTCTCTACTGGCATCTCCAGGTCCAGTACAAAGACCATAAGAAGGGAGAGCAGGGACCTAGAAGCTCCCAACAGCTGTTAATCAAACAAGCAAGCACACAGCTCACCTTTGTCACAGTCAGGACACCTGAAAATTATATTATCAACATACACAAGCAGAAAAGTTGTTTCCCTTCATTTGCAAGGAATCGTACAAAACAAAGTGGAACTAATAAAGAAAAGTTCCAGGGTGGCAACAGAAAGCAAACTAAAAATACTTTTGCAGTTCATCAAAACTATCCAGCAATATCAAGTTATAGGAAAACTCGTGCTATTAATAGTAATCCTTCTAGCTGAGGGTCAGATGCCTTGTCAATCCCAGCAGGTATATAAGAGGACGACATGGCCTGCCCAGGCCTCCTGCTCACTCCCAACAGACACTTTTTCTGTTTTACCTTAAGTCCTGCCACCTGGAAGCATTGGAGCACTATCCGTAATCTGACAGCAAAGTCTTCTCTCGACGATGCGGCGATCAGCACATCGTCGAAAAACAACGTGACTCTGGGGATGCCTTTAAGTAAATGGTCCATTAGGTTCTGAAATAACCCTGGGGCCATGCTAACTCCAAACTGTAGGCGCTTGACCCTGAGAGCACCCCTATGAGTCACGATTGTCTGGGCGTCCGCGGTGGCCTCGTCAACGGTTAGCTGCCGATAAGCTTGCGCTAAATCCAGCTTCCCGAAGATCTTGGCTCCAGCCAGGGTTGCTAACACGTGGCTCACCACCGGAACAGGGTACACGTGGTTCTGTAAGGCCTGCTTCAGGGTGCATTTGTAATCGCCACAGATACGGACTGAGCCGTCTGGCTTAACCGGTGTGACGATTGGGGTTTCCCAGGTACCTGAAGCTACCGGCTCTAAGACCCCTTGGGCGACTAAGCGATCAAGCTCCTTATCGATCCTGGGTTTAAGCGCTAACGGGACTCTACGGGCCTTAACCCAAATGGGTTGCACTGTGGGGTTGAGCCGTAGGGAAATCGGGGGTCCGTTATACAGGCCCAGGGTTCCATCGAAGACTGATGGAAATTCCTGGCAGATCGATTTGAAATCTGCCCCAGGGGAAATCTGATTAAGCCCTGAAACACCTAAGCCTCCGGCCTGCTTAGGCCCTCTCTTCATCTAAATCTGGCCCTGCTCCCAGCCAAATAAAGATTTAGAGGAGTGGGAGGAATGACTGCAACAAAGACCTGACTATCAGACATGTGTCAGTTTTCAGAAGACTTATCCCTGTACAGCAACCTTATGTTGTTCATTTTGAAAACGGAAACACTGTGCACCTATAGACAGCATTGTTCTAAACACCTTCCTCATTAATAATCTTTTGAACGCAGTTATCACAGCTGTGATTCGGCTCATGAATCAGCCTGACTATAGGGATGTCAGCTGTGTGTACACATTTTTGAAGTTGCAATGGATTCTTTAGGAAGTTGTGGCATATTAACTGTACTGAAAAGTAAACACCTCCATGTTTGAAAGAAATTCATCAGGAGAGTGGGGGGGGGACATCATTTTTTTAAGCAACATGATCAGATTAAATGATGGTCAAGCAATGAAACTTTGAAAACTCACATAGATTTTACAGCGATTTAAAGGGGGGTGGACTGATACGCTGCTAGTTATCCACTCATTAGGCCTCAATGATTTGACAGCAACGCCCATGCAACTTTATGGAAAAGGAATTATAGTGTCAGAATGCCATGCAACAATGCTTAATTGGTCTGTGGAAATGGTGGTGTGGAGCCAAACTGAAACACAACCCCTCACCTCAGCTACCCTGAGAATTGGCACTGGCTCTGCAATCTGGGCCACATTACAAATCTTAAGCAAAACATTTGGAGAGGGAAAGTAATTTCTTTGGAGTCTCAGGCCTGGGTATTCTTGTGCTGTAGTTGCATTAAGCACGGAAGGATGCTGGTAAACTCCATGGCAATCTGTAACTTGAGTTCTGTGGGTAGACCACTGTTTACACTGCATGCTTCATTTGCAAAATGTTCACTTACTTCTTTGACTATAAAACTTTGCGAGGTTTCATGAAGTTCCCGGGCTTTAGTCATTAGATGGGACGTCTGAGCTCAAGCTGAGCAACACTGTAAATTCAGTTTGGGTTTCTAGTAAATTTTTGTGGAATATGGGTAGGCAGACCCTTCAAGTGTCCCTATTTTTCAGGGTCAGTCCCAGATTTACAGAAGCTGTCCCAGTTTCTGATTTGATCCCAGAATGTCCTGCTTTTCCTTATTTTAATCGGTTAAATGTTGGAGAGTATGGAATTATCCAACCCCCTGAGCCATTTGAAGGCAGCCCTTTATACAGAATGTGGTTTTTTTTAAATAATGTTTAATGTTTTATTATGTTTTTATATATGTTGGAAGCCACCCAGAGTGGCTGAGGCAATCCAGTCAGATGGGTGGGGTATAAACAGTAAAATTATTATTATGGAATAGGACATCCCTATTTTCATTGGAGAAATGTTGGAGGATATGGATAGGAAGAAAGCCGTAAGAGATATGGGAAGGATCTCAGGAATCAGTTAATTTGCCTGCCAACGTCTGTGGAGTTAAGAGCCGTAGCCCTTGCATTTCCTTATGAAATTTTCTCATGTGGGGTTGTAGCCAATATTACTCCTACTCAGAGTAGACCCATTGAAGATAATGGGCATTACTAACCTAGGTCCATTGATTTCAATGGATAGGATTTGCCTCCCTGGAGATTCCACTTGTGCAACAGGGCTTTCCCTCTCTCCTCCCACTGCCCCTCCCCCCAAAAAATGGCTGGAGAGATGTCAGGAGAACCTCTCCAGGGAGAGGAGATGACCAGTCATTCCATCTGGTAAGATGAAATCCTTTCACAGATGGAACAAGCAGAAGACTACACATAATGGCACTACTCGGAGTATAAGTTAGTTGTATATAAGCCATGATATTGGACTTCTGGTAGATTTCCAGAAGTAGCTTTTCTGTAGTCCGAAAGATCACATAAAACACACAAATTATCAGGTAAGGAAACATCAGGAAAGTGGAATAAAGTGCTGTCTGAATTCAGCTGTAGAGTGGACCTATTGAAATTAATTGGCTTAAGTGTGTCATGTCCATTAGTTTCAGTAGGTCTGCTCTTAGTAGGACCAGCACTGGATACAATCCTTGGTTTCTAGATGCTGGATTACTGTTTTATGTTGGTAGAGCATGAGACTCTTAATCACAGAGTTGTGGGTTCAAGCCCCATGTTGGGCAAAAGCTTCTTGCATTGCAAGGGGTTGGACACTAGATGGTCTTCATGGTCCCTTCCAACTCTGCAGTTTGATGATTCTATTGCTGTGTTTTTGTTGTTGATGATATTAGTAACAACAACAAGAATATGGGGGTTCTTAAACATGCTCACAATGTCAAAAAAACAAAGTGGGAGGAAATCAGCTCCAAGCCTCATCATGAAAATATCCATCACGTATCCATTTCAAAACTCACTTTATTTGGTACGCGTGAAATATGCATTTGACTGCCATGATTGCTCTTCCCCCCACACATAGAGAACAACTTCATTACTTGCATGAACTCCTTTGGGGCCGACTTGGTGAATTCATCAGCTTCTCTCCAATCAGCAAGGCAATCCCAAATATTTCTGGGTATGCATGAATCACATAATTACATAAACTGTTCTAAACCTTTAGGCAATGTTTGTCATGCTGGCACTGTAATGGCGAGCGCTGGTGTGTGAAAGGAATGTGTGAAAATCATCACTCCATGAGGCAGGCCGGAAAGAAAGAGCTTGTCAATTGACAGACCTTTTTCAAATCAGACAAGTGTTCAGGGGCTGGGCCATCTTCATCCTTACCAAGCTGGAAACATGAAAGTTGATTGAATAAATAAAATACCTCTTAACTCTCTTTCATTGGCATTTTGCTCCTTTACCTGTAGGCATGGGATAAAAACTTTGTTCCACAGCTGAGCTCTTTGTCATGGAGGTGAGGTAATTGTCTCCCTTTTTTTTCAGGAGACTGGGCATGACCTCAATTCTGCATCAGAAAGAGCAATTAGACCTATTTCCCACCAGCTGTTGCTATCTATCATCTATCTATCTATCTATCTATCTATCTATCTATCTATCTATCTATCTATCTATCTATCTATCTATCTATCATCTATCATCTATCTATCATCTATCTATCTATCTATCATCTATCTATTTCACAGACAGGGGAACTGCTTTTGACCCAGATGTTGTCGGACTACAACTTTCACAACCCCAATCCTTGGCCATGCTGGCTGGGGCTGATGGGTTGGACTGCAACAACATCTGAAAACACACCGGCTTCCCATCCCCAGGGCTTTTTTTCGGGGAACTCTCCAGAACTCAGTTCTAGCACCTCTCAGGTGGGTGCCATTGCCATTCTAAAAGAAAGAGGGAGGCTTTCATGGCGAGTTCCGACACCTTTTCCCCCTAGAAAAATAGCACTGCCCATCCCTACTTTATGTATAGCCTCAGACAACTGAAAATCTGCATGGTGCGGGGGGCGGGACTTGCTCAAATGGAGTAACCCGGGAGAGGGCAAGACTGGTTGGTTGGAACCCTGAACAGGAAACTGAATCTGAAAATTATGAATGAGGAGAAAAATATGTGGTGAAATTCTCATGGGTGGGATGCAAAGGGTTTGTTTGTTTGTTTGTCCTTACCTTACTTTCTTGGGAGAAAAGCAAAGACAAACCTAGACAGCATCTTAAAAAGCAGAGACATCACCTTGCCAACAAAGGTCCGTATAGTTAAAGCTATGGTTTTCCCAGTAGTGATGTATGGAAGTGAGAGCTGGACCATAAAGAAGGCTGATCACCGAAGAATTGATGCTTTTGAATTATGGTGCTGGAGGAGACTCTTGAGAGTCTCATGGACTGCAAGAAGATCAAACCTATCCATTCTTAAGGAAATCAGCCCTGAGTGCTCACTGGAAGGACATCCTGAAGCTGAGGCTCCAATACTTTGGCCACCTCATGAGAAGAGAAGACTCCCTGGAAAAGACCCTGATGTTGGGAAAGATTGAGGGCACAAGGAGAAGGGGACGACAGAGGACGAGATGGTTGGATAGTGTTCTCGAAGCTACCAGCATGAGTTTGACCAAACTGTGGGAGGCAGTGGAAGACAGAAGTGCCTGGCGTGCTTTGGTCCATGGGGTCACGAAGAGTTGGACACGACTAAACAACTAAACAACAACACCTTACTTTCAAGGCAGCCATGGTGTGCTTGTGGTACGTTCTATTTTTCATTCTATAAATCATGTCTCCAGCTATCTGTGCTTTGCAGGCTTCCTGGGTCCCCATGCTTCCTGAAAACATCATGGCATCCCCAGCTGTGTACTTAATTATTAGGTCCTAACAGCTGTTTATTGTTGTTGTTTTAAAGCTATCTCACCCCTCCCTATAGTTTACTGGCAATGATCTCCACTTTGGGAAGCTGGGTAAGTAACAATGCCCACCCCCTGCTTTGCCTCATCAGCTGCTACTTTTCAGTTCTTTTAAAAGAATCTTTTGTCACATTTTCAGTGTGCATTTCCCGGGGATCCAAAGAAAGCACAAAAGTAACATGCATGTCTACTTAGAAGCCAGCCCCATTAAATTTGATGGGACTTACTCCTGAATGAGTTTCCTAGGTAAGTCTTTCAAACATTTTAATACTTTAAGACAAAGTAAAACACACAACCCACTTAAAGTAATATAAGAAAGCAATCCTTTGAAATAAGTGGAGAACTGTAAAGCTGTTAAGGAAATGTGCTATTATTGGAGAATATCCTATTGATAAGATTCATAGTATATGTGTTCAGAAAAAAATGATTTAAATGTTTATAGCTTTTGTAATTGATCTCTTTCAGTTTAAAGACATAGGCTTTTAAAAGGAAGGTACAATTTTTCTGCCACAATTTTTCTACGGCACCGTTAATGAGGTCCGTTTTCTCACTTGTAGAGGGTATTAAATGGGAAAGTGATGTCCTTTAAGAAAATGCATCACTGAGGTATGATTACAATCTGCTTCATCGGTTCACCCGTTAATCTTCGGAAATATGAAAGAGTGACCAACGTTTGGCCCAATAGTTAATACTACCCTGAAAGTTTAAAATTGTAAAATTGTATATTTATGGCTTTATATCTACAATACAAATGGAAATACTTGAATATGAAATTTTAGCTAGACTGAAACTTCACAAGTGCATTTTGGAAAGCTTAGGGAACAAGTTAGCCACTGATTCCTTCTCCTCTGATGCATGCTGTTCTGATTGTGGGATTCTGGCTAAAGACAACAATACCTTTAGGACCACCTCTCCCCATATAAACGGACCTGAACTCTGAGTCCAACTTAGGGCGTTCTTTGTGTGCCACCTCCACAAGAGATCCAGAGGGTGGCAACATGAGAATGGGCCTTTTCTACAGTGGCTTCCTCTTTGTGGAATGCTCTCCCCAGGGAGATTCTTCTGGAACTTTCCTTATATATCTTTAGGTGCCAGGCAAAAACATTCCTCTTCAACTAGATTAATATTCTGCAGCCCTTTAAATGAGTTTGTGAGAGTGGGTTTTTATTTTGTTGTTTGTGTTTCAACTATTTCTTTGTGCTTTGATCTCGTGTTTTTATCTTGTGAACCGCCTTGGTGGACGGTGGTATATAAATCGAATAATAAATAAATAAATAAATAAATTACTTCAAACAAACATTCCCGATTGCCATTAGCCCCTTCCATACAAGTGGAGATCTGTGATGGATCAAGGCCGGATTCTGTCCCAAATGTTCTTGACCTATATTTTGCATTTGAACCAGGAGTTTTGTGAATCTATTAGCAATCATAGGTCAAAGGCTAACAGTGCCTTTGTGAATTGGCTTAATTTTAAAAGTTGCTGGTATTTTCTGGCTTGGGAAACTGCAATGCTATTTTCTGGATTGCTTATTGTTGTTTTCCATTGATCCTACCTGATCATTCTGGGGGATTGTATGCTGTTGCCCTGGGGGACGTATGCAGGGCTGCTTTCAACTATACATCTCAGGTAGGCAGTTAGGATATTTTAATAGCTAACGGTTAAACCTTGGGACATGGTTATCTTATAATACAGGACGACACTGCAGCACCGAGGAAGCAAAAATATGCATGGAGCAGAAAGTGAGAGTACCCCTTCATTCATTTGAATTAGGAAAGGGAGGGTTTCTAGTGGCAGTCAGGAACATTCAAAATGTGAGCTGACTTTACTATGAAGTTGCATATACACGTGTATAGCTTTTCATATAGTAACTGTCAATCAGGTCATATGTTAATTCCACCCCACCCACCCGAAATTCTATTATTTCCTTTTATCATGATAAGTTAGAGCTTTACGTTTTGTTTGAGCTGTAAAAACACATATCAAATGTTTCCTCGTTTCTTTTCAAAATACCCTGGGAAAGAGTGTTTTACCTTTTCTTTTGTAAGTTTAACATAAGTAGAAATTGTCACTTTGAAATTGACAGGTATTCGTTACAGTCAACAATTGCATTGTTCATCTCTTGGTTCAGCCACCAACACAGGCGCTGCCTGTCATGTGTCACAACAGAGTGGAAACTTGTTAAACTATAAAGAGCAATACTGTAATATAAGGAATTGTGGGTAAAAATCTAAAATTGTCTCAGTTGGCTTGAGCTAGAGAAAGAAATCTGTCCTTTGCAAAAACTATTGCAGATCGTTTAGCCATCTGCATCGGAATGGCTGCAACTTTTAAGGGGATTTTCACGCTGCAGTCCATGGAAGTGACCATGGAATACTAAAGATGAAAAAGCTACTTCCTTTTACCACAACCCTTTAGCCCTATTCACAAGTGTTTTCATATGTTTCTGTAAGTACATGAATCACATCCAGAAATGGAATTAACATTTGCCGTATTCAGGTGTTTGGTCCTTATGAATACCAACTGCATCAAGGTACTCTCTAGAAAACAACCCCTAGTCAATGCGTTTCAATACGTTGGCCCATGGCAGGTACAGGCAGTCCTTGATTGCGTGGGGGTTGCATTCTGAGGCAGCGCCCTCGTCTGTGAAATAATGTATAATTGAAATGCATCGAAAAAGCCCACAGACACCCTGCGCCACTCCACCCCTGCTCTGCCCCCATTTTGCCCTTTTAGTGATGTTTCAGTGACATCTTTGACATTTCAGGGTCACTTCCTGGTTTGGTGTGATGCGCATATAAACAGTAGTGCACATATGTGCCTACATCAGTCCGAAATGGGCC